CCGTCGGAAAGAAGAAAACAATATAATGTATTTTTTACATATTAGTAGACTCTAAAAACTCCCCTGGATTACTCCCCAGAGATATGTATCCAACCGACTACGCCCACGTACGTTCTCGTCGGGGTGTCGTCCCACCACCCCGGTCGGGGACATTGGATCCCAGTCGGGCAAATCCTGGGGCCGCCCCTGGTGAAATATAATTGTCTCCTCCAATTGTATAGTATTAGTTTTTATCTTTATCAAAAACAAACATACATACAGGATAAACAATAAAAGGAAAGAAAAGAACTTCACATTTCGGCTTCCATTTTCTGTTTTAAACGTGATATATAATTGTAAACTTTCTGACGATTAATTTTGCTAATTTAACCTTTATCATTATCATCTTTTTTCATTATCTCTCATTTCATATATGATTCTTTCTATTACTTCCATTATCAGCTACTTTATCATCCTTCAATCATCATCTGATCAATTTATCTCTGTCCTTTATGTTAGGGCCTACCATAGATTCCGTTATTACTTTTTTTATGATACTATAACCCTTTTATTTGCAACCTTCACCATTACCACATCACTTCCTAAACCGAAACACAATTACTCTTCATGTGGCAAGGAGCAGATTTAAAATTTATACAAAGTCGATAGGGATATACAGGCCTATTAAAGCCAGTACATCCAATAATCTGAGTGTTTTCAAAATATGTTATGTATTGTCATCGATCCTTCATTGTAGGATCATGGTCAATACTAATTAACACCGTTTCCACACACGACGTAATAACTCATTTCCTATGATTGGCCTACAACTCATATTTTTTCCAGTTTGTGGTCGTTTGAAGGGTGCGAAACTAATTGGAATACTCGTGATGGCGTTGTACATTGTACCTGTAACCATTTAACAAGTTTTGGAGCACTGATGCATAAGCCTACTTTCGATAAAGTGCCTAACGAGGTAACACAGGCCAGTATCCAGGTTAGGAGTGGGGGTGGGATTAGAAGCGATGCTGTAGCGGATTTAAGGGAGACCCAGCCGGCACAAGCCCCCTGAATTTTTCAATTCAGGGGGCTTAAATAAAATTTGAGAGAAAAAAGAAAATTATATATAGATTTATGCATGAGTGTGCCATTTCATTTGGTGGTGGCGGTGGTGGCGGCGGCGGCGGTGGCGGTGGCAGTGGCGATGGTGATGGTGGTAGTAGGAGTAGCAGTATTACTACTACTGCTGCTACTACTACTAATAGAGCTACAGTATTATTATTATTATTATTATTATTATTATTATTATTATTATTATTATAACACTAAGCTAGTAATAATAGGCGTAAGATTTATTATAATAGGCCTAAAATAATGATAATAATGTAATTTCATTGCACCATAGAAGCATGGATCTAAAAAATCATCGAAGTCTATTTCAGACCATGAGAACTATTCGAGCTTTCATGAGAAGCTGTTATCGAAGTTAACCCTCATCGGTTTCGGGCTGTCTACCACCGCTCTTACTCTGACTGCTATCACATATGCATTTTTCAGGTATGTTATTAACTAGGCGTAGACCTAAAAAGAGATGGAGCATCCGACAAAACAACACTTAGAAATGAGGAGGTAAAATGTTTGATTGTAGAACCAAATTCATATATCATTTATACTGAGCCCGAAAAACCCACGATTCTTGTAAATGTACAGCAGAACGAAAATTGTATGTTGATCTTTTGCGCAATCGATTTTGCTGTGCTCCTTCTTTCTTGTACTTTCATATATTAACCTTTTAATAAGTAGGAAACCTTTGAAGTGAAATCATGTGCTCAGTCCTACTCATTCTTCAAAAGGTCACCGCTTAATCATTTTGTTAAGATCTGCACATGAGTAATGTACTGATTCGATTTTCTGATCGGTTCGGTAGGCTTTCCGATCCGAAAATTCCGATTCAGTGCGAATGCACTTTCAGCTTAGTAGTTGTTACACATTAAGAATTTATAATTTCATCGTTTTACCAATGCATAACATTCATATCGTAAACAAACAACACTAGAAAGTAACATGGACTGCTGATACTCTTTACAGAGAGCTCTGGAAGTCTCTTCGAAACGCTATTCATAAAAACCTGGTCGGAAATTTGCTAATATTTTATATTGTCTTCATCGGTGGAATCCAACATGCAAAAGGAACGGTTAGCATTTCATTTTTCATTAATTATTATTATTATTATAAATAATAT